GTATGTGTAATATGGTAGCGGTACTAGAATTACTATAGCTCGTCACAGAAAAACAGGCTTCTGCAAATCAGACTAACTAGATTTTCCGAAAAAAAAAATGATGCTAGCATATTAGATTCGCAACTAAGTTGCGCAAGCTCCAATCCTATAAGCCAGGAATCTAATTCGTCTTGTGCGGTGGAATACCCGATGGATGTAACCCCAGCCCGTTATTCTGGTTTTCTTTTCTATTAATCGGTAGTACTCTTGAAGGAAGACCCGGGCTGATTCGGGCCAAAGCAAATACAATATCCTATCAATTCACATACTAATTGGATAAATCATTTCGATGGGAATCGAATATTTTAAAGCAATCGGTCTTTCGCAACGCATTGCTTTGAGTTTTTTTTTTGAAGCATATTCCAGGAGACGTAGATGACAAGTTAAAAAACCAAGTCCTCACTTTGAACAATAGCGTTGTGGCGGCTCTAATGATCTACCCCGATCCCTTGAATACTCATCATTCCGATATAATAGTATGCAAGAACGTGCTCTAATACTTGAGCGCCACACAGAGAAACTATAGTTTCTCTCAACACCAAGATACTACCAAGATCATGGTAGAATATATAACTTAATTCAAGCTGTCCACAGACTAAGCCCTGGTTAGCAGCCACCGTTGTATAGCGCAGTCCGCGCTCATGATCCTTGAAAACAGGTACATGACACCAAGACCAGCCTAGCCGGCAGCATTATTTTTTTTTGCCAACCATCGAAAAATGGTTGAAAACTGTCTCGTTATTTTGAGCTACAATTTTTTCAGCTCGAAAAACATATTTCCTAAGTATGCCGTCGCGCTCACGTTTCCCGCATTAGCAGCCTCCAAGAAATAGGTTAGGGCGCGCGTATCACTTGCTCAACACCCTGCCCGCGTTGGCAGTGCCAATGGTCTAGGCCAACCTGCGCATGAATGTCACCTTTGTCAGCCAGAAACTTGTAATACTGTATCAAATTATTACCAAGCTGGTAAGTTCACGATCTCGACGAATTCTCGCATTCGTTGCTTAATCTTTTGAGGGCTGGTTGCCCACTGTAGGGAAAGCCGCTGGGACTCGCAAAAGTGCGCTCAACGGAACTAGCAGCTCGCCGATAGTAGTCGAGGGCATTTTCCCAACTTTGCAAAATACCTAGACCCAAGTAGTGTCAATAGCCAAGTGTCATCTGGACGAGCTTTTTCCATCGATAGCAGCAAAGGTGTATGAGATATCGGCTTTGAATTGCGAAGGATTCAAGAAGGCCAAGACCAAAAAAATGCATAAAACCGTAGAAAATTTGTGCTTTCAAATAGTCATTCCTTGCTAATGGTTTTAGTAATCCTTGAGACCGCGCTAGGTTAAACCTTATGCCAGCTTCTACGCCATCAAAAAGATGTACCACTGCGATCATGCGCTGTGTAACAGGGTGTCCCTGAATTGCCGCTTGCAGAAGAAAACTTTACGCTTTTGCTCAATCTAATCTCGTTCGAGCCATTCAATGAAGCACTCGGCGTCTTGAACATGGCCAGTGCCTGTCTCTGCTTCTTTTAAACGCCTTAGTATTCCGAACATTATTTGACGTATCATTCGGACTACTATGAGTTTGTATCGGGGCTATCGACTGCATTGAGGCAGAATCGACCTCTCTGCCTCGTTTAGTAGGCGACAAATTGAAGGAACCTTTTACCCGTAGTTCTGCAACGGCTCCCATTGGCTTGAGTCTAAACTGAATCTGTCCTTTTACTACGTGGTGAATTTGTCGGCAGTAAAGATAAGAACAACTTCAAAAAATCCAATGACTTCAGGTTGCTATGCGCGAAGTCCGCCGATTGATTGGGGTCGTCTCTTTCACTGATTGCCTTTACTATGTGCAATGAGCAAAATACGATTTCAGAGAAGGTGAAACTCTACCATATTTTAAAAACAGGTTCTTTTTACGTCCACTTGGCAGCAATGATTTTTATTGACCAATTGTCCTTGCCTTTCACCTTTTTGGTGATCATTAAGCCTGCATATCTTTTCAAAGGCAGTTCAACTATGATAAGTGTTCGGCCTACTGAAAAATCTCCGTACAAGCTTACACACTTACAGCAAACTTACTTAAATAATCTGTACTGCCCCAATCGAAGTCTTTCTTCAAAAACGCGCCAGTCCCAAATTAGCTTCTGTAATGTAGACGACAGGGTGCGGGATAACATCGTTTCCGCCGTAGAGCCAAAAACACACACACCTATAAATAGTGTTTGGCAGCGGTTCCGACTTGCCATTGCATGCCTACCATCCATGTGCGCATTATGAGCAACTGTAATTCAATGACAATGTCGTTACACGATTCTCACAACGATAGCATATTACCTGTAACAATCGGTGTTATTCTTATAATTAAAACAAAAGTAAAAATAAGAACACTCGCAGATCATCACAAGCCGTCTTTTCGAAATCCTACCTGCACGCAGAATGGCCTCGTTTCACAACTGGCGATAATACAATTATACGGTGTTTGCGCGGTGTCGTAGAACATTTTATAAGTGTCTGCCAAGGCCCTTTAATCCTTTTCGTCCTATTATTGACCGCTGAGAACCGGTCACGGACTGATGTTTGTCAAGAAACCAATGGCAGTGGCCATAGACTCGTCTGAGGTGGGTTAGTAACTATTTTCAGTAGTAATAATTACAAGGCCCAGCAGCATCGTCACCCATCCTAGCCAATTCCGACAATGACTCCTTGATAGTGAGACCGCTCGCTAACGAATGACTCCACCTGTGAAATTATTCTATGGGACAGAAAACTACACATCATCACAAATGGAACCAGCCGACGACCTCCTGTAGTCTGCTATTGCTGCCAGTCAACAGCAACCAACATATGCTGAGCATTCTATTACGCACTTAAATCCAGTATCTATATAAAGATGATAATAATAATGCTAATAGTGCGATGTGCATGTACGTCATTTACCTATTCAGCCTGTAGCCGCCACCCATAACGCGCGTGTACCTTATTTTTAGAGCAAAATGGTTTTTTTACGATCCCTATGCTATTCAATGATCAGAATTGCGGTCTCTCTAGGCCAACATCCATTCCTCAACTAAGCAAAAGATTTAAGCGTTCTAATCAGGTCACCACTGTGTTCGTATAAACTGAAATGACACGTTCGCTGAACTCTAAGCATTGTCTCCGAACACGGCGCGCAAATACCCCCCAGTCAGCTAGTGATAGCGGCAGCAGAGCTTATTCTAAAGCTGCTTCCCGTAAACTGCATGTGTTCATACGGCAAGACGTAAATGAAGTATAATAGTAGAGAATAAGCAGTCGAATATCAAAGGTCCGGCTCGATGCTGAGCAGCTTTGAGAGCAGTCTACATCAGACGGATAAGTATGGAAACGGCCGCGTTTTTCTGTTGTGAAAAAAAAAAACCAATAATTTAACTTTTCAGTCATTTATAGCTAAAAAAAATACTTTACATGCAGAAACTCGAGATAGATAGGACTAGGAACGTATGCTAGTCCTTATGCCATTAGTTTAACAATCTTTAAGCCAGACCTACAATAATCTAGTTATAAACAAATTTGAGCCAGCGTTTGCTTAGAGGATGTTCAGATCAATCAAAAGGAAAATATGTCTGGCTTCAGGTATTATAGGTCTGCTGTATAAAGTAAAACTCGTCAAACGGCACGCTTGCTGTTTCCGAGCCGACATATAGATAATCATACAAATACGTTTCCAGTACAAAATGAAAACGGAAATTTTATCTCGTTTGAAAGTTTTCTTTGGCTTTTTATCCACACAGGGAGACTACACCATAAATACAGACTTCTAAAGTTAGGAGTGAGTTTGTAAAAGAAAAGCTTAAGGAAGTTAGGCAGGATACCATCAGAGCACCTTACAAAAATTTTTCCATAGAAATCAACTATACAGTATAGCTACTTAGATCTTGCATTAAATTGCAAGAAAACACCAGCGATTTCTAAAGACAATAATGCCAGGAGCATAAAGTCAACTTGGCTAAAAAAAAAATAGGTGTAGAGGTAAAATATGGTTGTAGATAAGTAGATGAAAACGTATTAATATACAATGTGACAGCGCTTAGTCTATGTAGTGACGTTTTGTCGCTTTCAAGCATCAACAGCAGAACACCATTAACTGGGTAAAGATGAGATGTGCTAAGGCAATATCTTTTGCAGCCACGTAGCTGTGTTCTACAGAAATCTGAAACAGAGACACGCCCTCTAATTTGCTTTGTGAAAACTTCATGAAATATTACTGGAAGGCAAACGGTGAGTGCCCTGGAAAAATTTAGATCATTTTTTAGTCTAAATTCTCCTAATTAAACTTTCTTTCGTTAGTCAACAGCTAAGGATTTCCTAAAGGGCAGGACTTACTCAAAATCTTCGCACTTGAGATACCAAAATTTGCGCTTGTATGGAGTTAACGTTCAGCGCAATATGCCGTGGGGGGCAAAGGGACTCGGCTTAGGGCACTCAGGCGGCGAAGCGATGCCTAACATAGAAGTCAACTGTTCATGTTAACCGTCGGTTACAGTTTACAAAAAGTTTTGAAAAGTCGTTAGTCATGGTAATGTAATTTCAGATCAGAAAATATTTTGTGGAGGAAAATATGTTCCGCATAGCGCAGATATGAACCGAATGTAAAATAAAGTGCGCCGAATTTAGCCGTTGAAACTTTACAACTTTCCGTCACATTTTTTCTCCAATAGTGGCAAGGATTATACTAGCTCTCTCTCTCTCTCTCTCTCTATATATATATATATATATATATATAAAACACTATCGTGATACACCTGTACTGCGATTCACACTACATTTCATAGCGGTATTCCCACCGGCTATGTACAACGCGGTTGTTCTTCAATATCACTCATTGCTTATTCTATGGAGATAAGTACATATCGAGTTTTCTATATAAAAATGCCTATAAAAACGCAGCTTCCAACAATATGAAACAAACATGCCTAGCATTTCTATTTACAAATCTGTCGCGCCTCTCCACCGTCGCGAGTGGTTTCGAAATGGACCGAGTCAACGGCACCATCTCTGTCGGGTGCTCTGCTAATCATCTGACTTCGACTGCCTCTGCATAGTGTCAGTTGACATGGGACCCAAGCTGGAGTAGCTTGGTCACTGGCTTCTTTTCATGTACGGAGTGTGAACGCTTACCTTCAGTGAAACTATACACATCTGTGGTTCAAATTGTATGTAACAGAAGTGTGCGCACTTGCTTGATCTATCAAGCAACAATGTTTAGCACGCTCGCAATAGCAGCACTGCTGCTACCATTAGCCGCTGCCGTTGGAAGTATCCGATTTCCCGTTGTTCAGGATGATATCCGCTTCAATTCGGCTGTAGACTCGATCAAATCATCGCAGGTGGCTGATCTCCTTTCGGCACTAAACGGCTACGATGTTCAGCAACGTCCAGGGGGCAGTGTATGGAAGGGTTTGCGCAGTTACAATCCCCTTCGGCACCCAACGCTATTTCTGGTGGCGGATTTCGAGCTCGGGTCGTCAATGATTGAGCTCATCATGAATTCAAACTTACGCTTCAAGCTCGACAATGATAATCAACTCGATGCTGAATTTTCGATTTTCAAGAGTCGAAGTATTCACCGTTGGCCGGAAGCCGAAGGCCGTATGCAAGCTGTAGACACAGGAGTCAATGATTCGGAGGATGCCCAGATTGAACGGCTGCGCGAGGCGATTAGTCTTCTGCGTGACGAGCGATTTGAAGCATCGAAACAGGCTGATCGCGCATTCCTTCTAGAATACTACACGCTGAAAGGTGTTGTGTCCGATGCCGCCAAAGCTCCTGTTGACGATACTCCGTCGACAGTTTACTGGCTGAAGCTGAACTCTTTGCATGCTTTAGCAGATGAGTACGGCCAGGATCACAAAAAAACGCAGCGTGCTGTTCAGCTTTTCAGCCAGTTGATCGGCACCACCACCGGCGTACTCGAGTCTCACCCACGTTCGTTGTTCATGGTTATCCAGGAGGAGTCGATGCAACCTTCATCGAGCGCGAATGTATCGGGTGCTCCTAAACGTGTCCGTCGAGACCTCAATGTTCAGGAGCCGACGGCGCCCACAGAAACAAGGTGGAATTTAGCTCATCAGTATGATGGAGACTACCCAGTCGTATTTGCAACAACGGCATTTACCCTTTTCGTTATCGTATTAGGCGTGTACGCCACCTCGATCGGCCTCTGGTTCATGGACCCTGGACGTGACTCAATCATCTACCGAATGACATCGCAGCGAATGAAAATGGATTAAATTTAAGATATATAAGCAAGGTTATTTTCTGTTGAATGAGAGCAATTTTCGCTAACTGCAGTAAGTTCAGGACTAGCTGGCAGTAGCTACGTGGACGACAACCGCATTATTGGCGACGTCAAAAAGGTTCTCGACATATCGGGCACGACGAAGCATCTCATCTGAAAAGTACAGATCACTCCGTAACCTTACATAGTCAAAGGAATACTCCCGACTTTTGAGTTTGTTAGAAATTTGGCTGACGAGTCAAAAATTTAATCGAATCACGCGTTTCTTGTAGGCACGGCAAGACACCAACCGCCTTTATAGCAAAATACAGAAATTTCAATGTAGCTATTTCTGTCACAACCACAAAGAATATGGCGTAACATTTACATGTATTTTGTGAAATATGGGATGTTATAATTATCAGACTTACAACAGTATTTACTAGATCCCCAGCAAAGCGATGCGGCGCCCTATTTAACAAAACTTAGATTTTTTTATTATCAGCTTTGTACCGTTTGTGTACTTTGTTTCTGAGAGTGTGATAGGGAGTATTATGTTGTGGGCCATGCATGTTGAATATGGGACGATCGATTAAAAAACTAGTTTTCTTACAATTCCTACTTTCAAATCATAATTTTTTTATAGGTTGGCATTATAGGGAGTGCTTACGCGGGTTAATTTTATCTGCTCGCATCTAAGTCAGCATATCTTATATCAACGTTCAACGTGAGAATGTTTGATGGGAATCATTGATATGGAATGGGAGTAAAACAAGGGTCACGAGTTGATATGGAATGGGAGTAAAACAAGGGTCACGAGACAAGGAGGCGATGGGAATGGGAGTAAAACAAGGGTCACGAGACAAGGAGGCGATGGGCAAATACGGAGACCTCTGCTATAATGCCGTGTGAACTGACGACAGGCAGCGAGCGCTACAAGCACTTATCATACGACTAGTGCTACTTCTCGTTATGGACAGTGCATGTTGCTAAGATTTACTATTTGGGCATAGAGGAAAGCGACCATAAGTATTTCAATGAAGATCGCTAATAAATATGAGGCGCAGAAATATTACGTGGAGAGGACGCCGTTATGTTCTGGTTGAACTAATAGACGAAGTTAGTAGAATACAGGTTGAATTATTATCATTTTTATTCATATAATGTTAATGTTATTACTTGAGGCAACGTTGATAAACAAAAGATCTTAAAAGTATCTGAGAAGTAAAACATTCACATGATGGTACTCTGTCTTCACAAATGGTGTAAATGTTTTACTGATAATGATGAAGGTGAAAGGGAACATTGAACTGACGATGATGCTAAGCGCAGTCTGTGAATATGAAATGAGGAAACAACGAGGACAAACAAAGGGAAAAAGATAACTGCCAACAAATAATAAATGAGGTGAGGAAAGTTGAGTGAATAACACTACGTGTTTTTCTTACAAAATAAAACAGTGCCATTATAGTTATTAATGATGTAGGCAAATAAAGGCAAATAATAAACATTTTGACCTTCTCTGCATTAGGCCAATGTTGTTGACTTAATTTCTATTTACTTTCCATCCACGCTAATCTTATGCGTTACTACAATTTATGTGCAAATCTAACATGGACACTGTAAAAAATCCAAAATCAAACATTTCACATATCGAATCTTAGCAATCCCCCTATTCATTGTAGTGTAATCATATTGGCTTACTTTTATCAAGTCAAAAATCCTCTAAAAAAGGAAAGTCATATTTACAACTACAGCCGTCCTTCGAAATGTTAGTTGAATTGCTCCTACCTAATATTAACTACATAAGAGAATAAAAACAATGCATACGTATACGTGTCGCTTGAATAAGATGCATGCTTAGCGAAATCTCTTAACTATTAGTCAAGTAATATGGCGTTAAGTATTTTAATCTTAATAATAATACTTACGTTATTATTAATTATAGCAATAATACCAGTAACATCTTTTACTTTGGCGAATTCAAAATCTATATAAAAAATAAATTTCTTTGCTAACTTTGTATATCGTTTTGATAATAAGTATTCTTTAATAAGCGAATTCAGAATTGAAGTTATGAAGAACCGTTTTACGAATTTTAGCAATTTTAGTTTAATTGCCTAAAAATAAAATTGCTTGACCTGAAAAAAGTGCAAATATAGTTTCCAAAAAAATACCAAAGTAATTCAAAGTCAACGAATCAAAATATGATCATAGTCATAGTGTAGTTACTAACGTTCGTGTCACTAATGTAAGCGAGATTCTAATAGTAACGTAGATACGCAATGCCTACATTGAAAAAAGATTATCTGTATAAGCAGTTTATTCATTACTCGGTAATTCCACGACATATACAAAAAACTATAAAATTAAAATCGTTCAGCTTATACTTAAAATATACATTCAGACCATGATGTTCTAGACATAATTCAAGAAATTGGGTTAGTCATAATCTAGTAATTGCAGTATTTATGCGCATGCCAAATAGCAGACCTCAGGCCAATCAATAAAGTTAACCCTAATTCAACTCTTGGTGCATTTTTCAAATTGATTAGTCAATATTTATATACATATTGCTGAGCTAAGCAAAAAAATCAATATTTTTATCTTTTATGAGATTTATGGAAAAATCATCAACCATATTTTATTATTGTTATAAATTATATAATTATATATAAATATAATATTATATACTATATAAAACTTTATTTATTATATTATTACGCTATTATAAGCTATTATAAAACTATATATATATATATATATATAGTACACACAAAGAAATAATAAAAATATAAATAATATAAAGCATTAATCAAATGAAAAATCCCTAGGACTTAATAGCGTTCGTGTTGCGGTGATCCTGTAAGCAGTCATACGCGGTTATTAAGCGATTATCAGCTGAACGACAGAAAGCATCTGTTGAACGGAGTTCCACTACGCCAGCACTATCTCTGTCGTCGAATTGTAAGACATGATAACGCACTTCCTTTGCTCGCTCTATAAGATTACATTCTCCGCAGATTTTTGGTATGCTGTCACGCGTCCTTTTTGTGTATCTCAAAGCTCAAGGAAGCACACGAATCCTCAAATCCAAAAGCGAATGAACGAATTGTTGTTTGGTAAACACAATCGGATAGGAACAACTAATATTATCGGTGTTCCTAAAAAAAATTATTAAGCTCTACGAACATTTTGTAGGATATGATATTTGACTGCTACGAACGTCTGCATTAAATGATTGCACAAAAAAATATCAAATGTACGAAGTCTAAATGTATGTATCAGAATTACTTCAGAATATTTTCAAACGGAATATTATAAAAAATTATGGAAGCAGTAATGAAAAAAACAATTTTGATGTTGTAGGTTTGAAGCTTCGAGTTCTGCTTCACTCTTTATCTACATTGAGATCCTAAGGAACACTGGATGAAATTTAACGAATTCAAATGCATTCAGGCGACTATCTACATATTCTGGTGTCCCTATATATTTAATTTGGTCACATAACTCAACCACATATGCTGAGTGAGAAAGCTTGCCACAAGTGGAAACCGCAACTAAATGCAGCCAACAGTAAGTCAAAAAAATCATATCGAATGCAACCATGCGATCAGCGACACAGACAAACTACAAGACAGTTTACAAGTTGTTTACACTTATTAATACCAATAACTTCCCCGAATTATGTTATATCAAAGACGTTCAGTTGTGCAAAATGCTTATTTTATTTGAATATGCCTTGGGTAACGTTCATAGTTCCGCTCATATTTGTCATCGATCCTTTAATACTATTCTAGCATTTTAACTTTTTCGAACAATCCGATGTGGCGTTTTGCGGAAGTTGATAAGATTTACAAGCCTAGAAACGTAAAAGTGATATAAAGATATAATTGTACAGGTCACACAGTCACCAAATAAATTTGTTTTATTACTCTTTTTTATTTGTCCCGGAAAACATATGTTAGACCTATCAAGGACCCCACGAATGTTAATTTGTGCCACGCATCGACGTGCATACGTAATTCAAGAACCTATGCACACTGTATGCACATCTCTTCGGTAATTCACTTAGCTATCTATTTTATGTACAAAGATAGCTCATTCAATTGGATAGGTACTTTATGGCATGGCCTTATAGTTATTTATCACTGGTCAAGGCAAGCATCGAGATGTGTGTTGATATCTTTTTCGGAAACTTTTTTCAAGCACACGGGACAATTAACTTCATGGAATAAATTGGCGACGTGATCGGAAATATTGGTGCAGCTATCATTATCTCTATCGACAATCACTATCGGAGCTGCATTTTGTGGTAAATTTGTCAGTGGACGTTCCTGGGCAGCAGAGGAGAAGCCAGCTTTCAGGTCAGATTCGGTCGCTTCTTCGTCACTACTGAACAGTTCCTCTATAAGTTTCCGACCCCGAAGCTGGTCAGCAAAAGAAGGCGTTTTCGTGGTTTTTGTTCCTTCGCTTAATGTTGACGCTGTCCCGAGCTTGTTTGAGCGAAGCCAATCTAACGTTGTCTGTCGAAGTGGAGGAGTGTGTATGGTTTTTCTGATCTTTGATGTACTGGCACTGAGTGATTTATCATTTACTACAGCCATGTTCATACGACCAAGACTGTGATCGTTATGCTTTGACGTTCCAGGAATTTTAGAATGCCCAAGCCTTTGATCGGTAGCTTGCGAAGTCCCAGATGTATTAATAGAGCCAAGTACGTTACCGGTGCCCTGGAAAGGTACGAAGCTTTTCGGTACGGTTGAGATAAGCGGTTTGAAAAAGTTGTTGTTACGACTTGATTGGCTCGATTGATTGATATGACTGTCTGTAAAGCCAGAAAGTCCAGTAATCTTTGATGAGTTCGCCTTTAAAGTGCTCGGCTGGAACAGATCACTCTGAACCTTAGTAGTGGTTGAAGAAACTGTAAGTGAGGTCGAAGTTCTAGTACCTATCATAGTCTTTTTGAGCATTTTGCTCAGTGGGCCAGATACGTCCCCGCCAATCTTACCGAAGGGCTGTTTGCGTTTACGATTTTTAGATCCGTCACCCTCTTGCATTTCGGGCCCGGCAACTTTTACGAAGGTTCCACCGCACTGGCGTTGATGATTGGCCCACCAAAAATCGTTTTTCGACGGCGCACGATTTTGTGACCGTTGTACCCAACCAAAGAAAGGATGCTTGTTCCTACACGGTCCATCGCAACGCCAATGGTGAACCTTGTAGTGACGCACCTCATCGTGAAACGAATGGTAAACCGTAATATTGCATTTGGCCAGCTGATTAATTCGGTGCATTTTTTTATGGAATTCCGGACCATGTCCATCGCGTCCTTCGGATCGTGATTTCCCGCTAAGCATTATATACGCATGAATCATTTCATGCAAAAGAGTTTCTACTAAATCGGACCGGGGTCGCAATGTTAGTAGAGGTTTTGATAGCCGAATTGAGCACTGGCCTTTCTGAAAGCAGCACAAGCCGGCACATGATGTCATTCTGGGACTCCAACTGACGGTACAGAATCTCAATGAACTATTGAAAAACATATCGTCAAATACCTGAAACATGGCGTGTATGTCCGGTGTTGGATCGATTACTTCCCACTGGGGATCGACAAGCGAAAGCCACTTATGCTTTTCAATCAGCGCTCGAAATTCTGCCACATGCTGAGGATCCCTTTTCTCTGGTTTCTCAGTACGGAAGGCCAAGTATTCGTTTTCTTCCTCGCGCTGGAGTTTCTCAGCAAACTTCCGATCTTCTTCAAGGTCGTATATTGACGTCTCGAAGCGTCGAAAATTCGTTGTGTGGGTACTCAAACCTTCTGCATCGTTGAGCATAGCCCGATTGCATTCTTCCCATTGAAGAGCCTGGGCACACAAGCGGTCCTGCTCTTCCTGATCCATACTGGCATCTTCCATCAGAGTCAAGATTTTGTTTATGAAAACCTCCTAATTTTAAGGCGGTCGTAGAGACTCATAGCACATTAAGCACGAACTCCTACAGCTTTCGACCAATTATGTTCAACACGGTTACATGACCTCCAAGATTGCAATCACTTTGTATTCGCATGTACTTGAATGCTACCGTCACCAGTCAACACGAACAGCTGCATATGATGTCGGCTATTTGACGGAACAACGGATCATGTACATTGTTTACATTTCTGATTTTAGTTCTTACTTTTTCGGTAGATCTGTGAATTTAAAGTTAACTTGTTTTATATGTTAATATCTAGTTAAATATGGTATTAACGGTTTGACTGGTCAGGAAAAATTTCTGACGGAGGTACAATTGTTTTGTGAAAGTAAACTGCCACATAAATCGAAGCCTGGCAACCATGGGACTGACACTGTCATTATTGCTCATCTTTAAAACTGAGAACCCACACTTCGGGACGTTAAGCTACAGTTAGTTGAAGCCCAAGCAATAGTAAATGCTATATGTATAATCTATTAATAATACCTTCGACTGTATTGAATAACATTATCAGTGATTATCGTATTTTCTTCGACTGGATATAGATGTATACATAATATAGCAGAATAAGTTTTTTCCATTATTGTCAATTCGAGCACCAGTGCGCAAATTCCCCCATCTTATTCCAATGACGGGATATGTGCTAAAAAATCAGTTGGTTCAATATACAAATAAACAATTAAAAATATAAGCGAAATAATGAATTAATATAAAAAGACACCGTCTTTACCCAATGCTTTACGGCGAACAAAAAACCATGCTATATTACCTTATATTTTTGAACGATTTCCTATTTAGAGAATCAATTAAGAAACTTTTTACACGCAAGTGCATGCATAGAATAAAAGGTGAAAAATGTTTTGAAAAAAAAATTACCATGAAAAGTTTTGATTCATATTCGTTTGTTTAGTGATCCCAGGCGTTGTTTTCTAGATATTTTCGTCCAAGTAGGCGCATCGGATGAATGGATGAACGCATTTCAGGCCTGCGAGTGCTGCAATAATGAGAGAGAACATCTCTCCTCGTCGGGGTGGCTGCATGAAAACATTCGCACGTGCTGGAGCTGCAGTGCGCCAGAAAAAAACCAAAATCTCAGAATTGTTTTAGGAAAAAAAAGCTACTTCAGAATTCAATATACAGTGTACTTGATCGGCTTGGAATTGTTCAGTAGAACAACGCTCACAGCCGTATAGAAGTGTTTCGATTGGACCATGAAAGCATTATTTACCTATTACCGACTGGGAAGCTAGAAAGGTATTGTTTGTTCTACAAGCAGTGAAAATACTAACTATGGTTTATTTCGGTGCTAAACGTTACCCAACGAGTTGGTTTTGGTTTAATTTAGATTACCGCCAAATAGCAAAATTTCCTCAGTGTATTTTCAATGTGTTTAGGATTGAAGCACATAAAGAATCTGTTGTCGGCTGATTGGTAGTACACCGTTGAATACAACGAATAAATAGAACGCAATTCGGTTTTTCTGACAGATACCAGTTTCATTGTCTTTATTTATTCCAATCAAAGTCCAACTGATTGAGCAATTTTGGATTTTTTTCTTTTAATATTGTGCACGGTTGATTAATTTGAAATCGATACTGTAATATTAAATTACAGACGTGTTCTCTGAGCTTATATTTTTGTCTGATTACATCTTAGGTTATAGTCAGTGACTGATTGCTCTTTTAAAGAGCCGTGACTGTTATTGTACAAGGCCAAACATAAAGACGCGAAGTTTGTTTTATTTAGCAGTAGTGTGCTCATTATTAATTTATTATAGTGAACGATACTTAGAAGTCATATAACGCAGAAGTGTGACCTCTTCAACGTGTAAATGAAATCTCATAAAAACAAAAACGCCTTATTTGCGTCCAGTCAGTTTAGACATAGGATAAATAGTTAAATACGTGACTGTAATCCTTAATATTTAGTATTAAGCTTAGTTTCAGTAGAATAAAAGTGTGGACTATGAACATTTTAAGATGCTTCCTTATTTCAGGGTGCGGAAACGATTTCCCAATACTACACCAGAGAAACTAAGTGGTTTCTATCAACAAGACACAATGTCGGGAGCTGCTGGAGAGGAGCAGTACTTCCCGCGGGGTCACACCGTCCTCGCCGTCAGCGACAAGAAAGATTCGAAGGCAAAAAGAGCGCTAAAGAAGGCTGAAAAGCGCAGACAAAGTGAAGATTTTTTCCGAATCATTAACGCATCGAAAAAGGCGGTCAGTGCTTTATACAGGTCGTATACATAAATACCGTAGAATGAACAGGTCGTTCATTCTACGGCATTTATGTATATATTGGTTACTATAGCAAAGTTTAGAAATATTTTATAGTCCTTACCTTTGTTATTTCTAGACACTCGAAACATTGTATTGGTATAAAGAGGCTGTGGATGATAATACGCAAAAAGAGAACAATATTTTTTGATGCTGCGAGAGTTAAAAATAAACAAGTGGCACCAGTGGCCTTCGCTACTCCACCTTTATGTAACGCGCAGTAACGAGGTTCATAAGCATTGAAAGAAGGGGAGCGTGGTACGTACTAAATATGCGTCAGAGGTCCATGAGGTTGTGTTTGTTTTTACGCGCTAAATTAGTTCTTCGAAGCGTCAGCTCTTCGGTGCAAGGGTCAGTCACGATGCTCTCAGCCTATTTTCCGAACATGGAAAATCCATCTTGCCGTTTTCGGGATTATTCAAAGTAACATACAAGGAATCCATTTTAGCGGTCTATGTGTTTGTTGTAGCAAGTAAGAGTTTAACAGTTATTGCTAGTAACAGAAGAAAACTGCTTTTATTTTTTTTCAAAACAAGGCCACAAATTTATCGTGGCACTTCCTTCCTTGCTCGAAATTGATGGTCTACATTGTTGCAAGTCCCGTTCGGTACTTCTAAATAATTCAGAAAACATGGTCGTGAACAAGCAATATCCACAGCAAAAAAGTAACTCCAAGGAGCTGAAAAATTAAAAAAAACGTCCTAAAATGTGTATATAATAATGGTACTGGCAGTTTTTGTTTTTCTTTAAGAACAGCAACATTACATAATTCTACTCCTCATATTATAGAATTCAAATAGGTTTTCTTTAAAGAAGCAAAGGACAAGGGTCTTTGTCGCTGCTCTATTCACTAAAATTGCGTCTGAGCAAGACGCAAAGCACACAATCAAATGCTTGGAACTTTAGCCGGTAGGTATACTCAGACATGCGAGTATGGCATTTGAAATTCGATCACGAATCGGTCTTTAGCTGACAAAAGCGACGTATATTATATATACTATTTCGATTTTACAATAGATTTATTCTTTATTTATACAAAAATAATGAGATCAATATGATGATTGTGGAATATTTTACATGTCTAATGAAATTATATTTGCTTATACAGAAAAGAGCAAAAAAATCTAGCGCCAAGTTAGATGAACACGAGACCCGAGCTGCTGACGATGACCCAATGCAGGATATCGTTATTGAACCCCTTACGCAAAAAACTGTACAGACTGGCATGGTTATCCTTGGGTGAGTACGTTACGTGCACTTCTATTGACACTATATACGACGTTTGATCGCTTCACGAGACAAAATTTATAGATGATATTTCTGAACTCCAAAAAGGCAAATATTCATATTAGATTTTTTTAGTCAGATCTGCTTATGTAACACAACCTTCACCGTCGAGACCCTCATTTGATTTGATGTACGCGCGTTTTAACATGTGCTGCCTATAAATACGAATTTTTCCAGAGCTGTGCATCATATATATGGCAGTATGCTTCGTGTAGCACTCCCGGGAACAGTAGCCCATCTGCCTCTAGCCAATGTATCTGCCTCGTACTCCTCCCTGGCAGAACGCTGGGCCTGTATCCCTCAAAAAAAAAATCAACGGCGTACGTTGGCCGACCCCTCATTGCCTGAGAAACTGTTGACCCTTGATGAACTCTTTAAAATCGGACAGGTTCTGAAGTTTGCCGTGCAAATGACATCTTCTGACAGTCCGGTAAGAAGGGAATCTAGTTTTAGATGTATTAGTCTTTTTATAATAGTTCGATGAGGTTGAGGATAGTTTTTCCTGCAGATTTTTTTTAAAACTAATCTAGCAGTAGACGAAAAGTTAATAGGCAAGCGTATATGAAAGCATTATGTACATCAACCTTGATAGAACAAAAAGAAGGCCATTCCAAATTTCGTGAGTTTAGAGTTAGGCATTGAATATTACCCCTGAAATATCACTACATTCATGCGCCGGAATTAATAAAACCCAACGGATTAGGTCCACCTCCTTAGCTAAGCTGCCTTAGATTTTACCTTTTCCATCCTGTAGCTTTGTTTCAAGCCATATACATAATTCAGTTTATTCGTGTTAAACTTTCAAGCTTGTTAGTAGGGTACGTCAGAAATACATGGTGATTTAGCCAGATCTCGTCAGTAGAGATTGTCCTCCTAGGCGTATAATCTATACGCCCACACAGATAAGTACACAAAAAATAGAGCATTCTGACGCGACAGGAGCAGCGCTAACAACAATATAGTTAAGGTTATTTTTTCTGTTCGTGGAATTCTCTAGCCCATTGTATCGACCATCCCAGAGGATGTGAATGGCGGACTTTCGCAAGAGAAGCTTCGAGAGGGAATGGTGTTGCAGGTCGCGGTCAGCTCAGTCGAAGATCATGGTTATGCTCTTGAGACTGGTATCAGTGGTTTAACAGGCGCGTTTCTCGCAGCCAAACAGGCCCCGCGAGTACTTCACATAGGTGAACTGCTTCTTGTACGTGTCGAAAAGAAAGGCCTAGCTGGTCGTCTCAAGTTCGAGCCGTACACCTTTGGTCAAGTCATAGAGACGGGTGAAGAATGGAATCTAAACACAATTATGCCTGGTTAGTAACCTGATGACGTACGATTGTATTCAACATACGCTATCATCAAGAAGCTCAATTGAACATTTTGAAAAATTTGTTATGCTTTGCCGTATCCAGTCTCAGAAATCGTATCACTTTGCAGGGTCCGCTAAAATGCACATCGAAAGCTATGCATTAAAAAGTACAAACATTCTTTGACTTGCTAAGTTGGTAATATTTTTGTTTTTTTTTTTCATCGTAGGCATGGTCACCGATGCGACAATAGTGCAAAGCGACGCGTCCGGACTTGGTTTGTGGCTTCTGAACAACGAGCTAATAGGCGCCGTTGAGCCTCGTCAAATTCCCAGGGACGCGAGCCTCAGCGGCCAATTAACGCTTCAGTCGCATGTGTCAGCTGTTGTGCTTTACAAACATCCGATTCTAAATACTTTATATTGTTCACTGCGCGTCCCGCCAATTAGTGAACTAAACCCTTTTGATGATTTTCACGGCGTTCGGTTGGGCCAAATTATTGAGAAGGCCATCGTAGTAGATGTGCAATCAACGTTTGTTAAACTCGAAGTGCCACTGAAGAAAAAACACCAGACCTCACTAATTGCTATAGCAACCAAGGAGAACGTGTTTGATGATGACGGAAAGGAACCGCAAGACGTGTTTTCACCAGGTTGGCTGATGGAGCATTTATCTGAATCTGTGTATTGCTTGCAAATTTTGTTTTGGTAACAAATTCGTACACTATTCCTAGTTGCTTGATTTATAACGTCTTTTTCATAAAACAATTTGTTTGCTTTCTGCTTCTTTATAGGTCAAGTGACCTCCTGTCGTGTTATCGGTTTATCTTTATTAGAACGTGAACTGTACGTATCGCTTCGTGAGTCAGTGGTTGATAGTGGCTGCTACTACACGGAAGACGAGCTGATCATCGGCAAAACGTTACCTGCCAAAGTGAAGTACTCTAACGACACCGGAATCGTATTCGACATCTGTCCAGGTGTGACCGCCTTCTGTGACTTTGTTGAGGCTTCATTTGTCGTTAATAAGAACAACGTGGCTGAACTTTTTCCACCGGGAAAGCCAGTCCAGATTCGAATCCGGTATATCAACGGCAAACACTATCCTAAAAGATATTTTGTAACATGCAATCGTCAGTTGGTCAAGAGTAAACACGAACTAGTTTGTAGCTATGAAACATGCCACGTGGGAAAGATATCTGATGGTGTTGTACTCATGGTGAAGCCACGAGGCTTGCTGGTTGGCTTTTACAATAAGGTTCGCGGCTGGGTGCCTGAGGAGTATCTACCCCACAGTTATGCTCGTGCGGATGAAATCTTTAAGGTAGGACAAGTGGTTACGGCAAAAATAGTGAACATAAACCCAGATGCTGAGCGAATGACACTTTCGCTTCAGGTTAATGTGGGCGATGATAACAACATCAACTGTGCGGCTAGCGGTAGTGGAAAGAACGTCGGCGCAAACAAACAAAGCCAGAGCGATAAAAAAGAAGAGGTAGAATTTCTTACTGACATCGAGGCTACTGTGATCAAGAAGGACAGACATTGTCTCGAGCTTGATGCCGACGAGTTAGGCCCGTGTCTTCTAAGCCGAGAGCACCTTAGTGACTTTTCTGACATTTCGAGGGCATTATTCACTGCCATAAGTCCAGGCAATAAACTCAATAAATTGACGTGCATCGGATCAGTTGGTGGCAAGAAGCAGCTGAGTATAAAACCTTTCATAAGGTCTATGGTAATTAGTGGGCAGCTTCATAACGGTCCCTTAAAGCCCGGGGCAGTTCTCCCTGCCATGATAAGAAGTGCCGGTTCTTGGGGAGCAGTTTTATCGCTGCCTAATAGCCATTCTGCGAAGGTTATGCTGCGTGATTTAGCCGATTCATACATTCCCAAGGATCATACGTGCCTAGCGGAAGGAGCTACCCTCATCTGCAAGGTAATGTCGGTAGGAGCTGCGGAAGACACGATCGGAGTAAGCTGCAAACGGTCTGAGATTAACTATGCGCTAGATGCGTCTTATAAGGAAAGCTTGGCTACGTCTCTACGTACTCTCCTGTCTTATGGAGGAGAAGATTCCATCGGCCAAGTAATTAAAGTGACGCCGAAGAAGGTCAGTTATAATATCATTTGCGACTACAAAGGTCAGAGAGCGATAGCTTGCAGAGCACTGACCACGGACGGACAAGGTGTCCGGGTCGAGCCCACAAACGCAATTGTGCTCGGTTATCGGTTCCAGGACGGCCGAAGAGACTATATTGTCACTATCGATCGTGACGTCGTTTACAAATATCTACAGGTTACACGTCGTTTCAAGAAAGGCAAATCCTCTCAGGGCAAGGGGACCATTCATTGTAAAGCTGAGGTACTGGTTTTAGCTGTGCTTCGCGACTATGCTGCTGCGTTTACAAAGGATGGCCGATTACTCATGCTCACATTGGGAAATCACCCTAACGACGTCCGTCGTGGACATTGGACTATAGATCGGGAGGATCAGCGACTACCGCGAGTGGTTGAGGCGTATCTTTACGATACGCTGGCGCCAGTGAATGATTCAATTCTCGTTGGTAACTTCTGCCGGGTCGAAGGTGTAGCCACTGTCGACATGCACGTTATTCAACGGCTTGGCGAAGAAGTCGAATTGATTGATGATTTTGCAAGCGGCGATAGCAGTAATGAAAATGAATTCGGACATACACTTGACATGACAGGTCGGTCGTTAACTATGATACGAGGTGCTGGCATTGGACAGGGCGGAGGTGACCAAATTGCGGAAGTAGCTGGAGGTTCGCGCAGGGGAAATCAAACTACAACAGACAGTAACGATAACAGTAGCAGCAACTTAAGTACAAGCGATTACGATGAAGAAGGAGATCTCGATGAGGACGGAATTAGTAACGACAGTGAATCAAGCGTAACGAAGTTCGACAGCGAGGAAAGTGGCACAAGCGACAGTGAGTTTCAGAGCGACGATAGTGATGATTAATTAATGAATGAAATGAGAAATACTAGCGATGGTAGTAGTACTATAAAAAAAAAAAAAAAAAAACAATAGGAGGTGACCGATAGAGAAACAATATGTATTCAATCATGAGAAATGTTTGTATTTTGTCTGCGAAGGAAGCCCACTTTGTTGACTCAATGGGAAAACAATTTTGAGGGCGTTGTTCAAAATGAGCACTCGCAAAAAATAAATAAACAGCGGAGAAAACGAAAAAAAGTATCTCAGGTATAGACCATATGTACACCACTGTATATATTTAAGCAATCGAGCGGTGTAGATATACTACCATGAGTGCCTATACATTGCGCGATTATATGGTAATTAAATAAATGAGTTACATAAACTTTCTATAAACCATAAAGGCTTTAGTAGTTTCTGGTGTATTCATCTGCATGTACTCGTACTTCTATTTGTGGAATGTCATATCCGCATATTGCACACATCATGGTTTAAAAACCTTTCTAGTGAATCTGACTATCCGTAAAGAAATGCAGCAATATGCGATAAATAGCTAATCAAAGATGGTTTCTCTAAGAGTCGTAAAAGATACGAGCATTTGAAAAAATACTTTCGACCAAACTAAATCAGTATGGCAAGTTTTTAATGTCAGTTTCTCTAAGAAACTACCTGACCATTTGGAACAACGCAGAATTGTATCATACATTAATATGTAGACGCTCAGAACTATGCTTATAAAGGTATTAGAAAACATTTTTACTCCAACTATTCTTCACAAACGTCGTATTCAGAATTTCCGTACATACTTACAGTAAATATAAAAATATATGTTTTTATTAATATATTATTATTTTTGATGATACAAGCTGCCTGTACAACAAATGGGGCGCTCTCTAGCTTTTGCTTTTTTATACGTTTAAAAGATAATTCAGATGCTTACAGTACGAAAAATATAAAATGTAAGTCTTTTTACCAACTTAAATTTCAGTCCACGTTGGCCAGACAATTATTTACCAGAAGAACGTAAATAATCCACTCGTTGTAAAAATCTAGGCAAACAACCTCATACCAAATTGATCCGAACCTTCACTGTATCTTATAATCATCGTATTATTATTACTACAAAGTGTGGTAAGGTAATAAAAGAATCCGCTGTTAGCAGAACGACAAGTTATTTTATTGCTAACATAAACTTGGGTTGTAGCCTTTTGATATTCACTAAAAAGTAATCAATGTTTCGCTGTTACAGCATACGGTAGGGCTGTAAATTAGGACGACTTTTCATGTTTATCACAAAACATGGTCAAACGTCTTTGACAAAGCAAATTTATTGTCACTAAGTTAAAGCATAAATTGGAGAGCTTGAAGAAAAGGCTAATGTAATGTAAAAACATGTCATTCATGCATAAACAGAAGATCACCTCAATGTACAGAAATGTGTTCTGTGTAAGTTTGCGCCATTCGTGAAGTTTGTTAAAAGCTCAAAAAACAGGTTGTAACACAAACGTGTAGAAAAAATAGCAATTCTATGTCTTTAGCTAAATCTTATAAGCAACGCTTGTGCTGTCAGTTTACACATGGAATATGAAAGAGTAATTTTAGTCGGTTCCATAGTGAGAACTCGGTTTTAAGTTGTAATCGTGTCAAAAAGTGCGTTCCAACACGATCACTACTCGACTATTTCCTGGGCGTCATCTTAGCCTCAAAGGTTTCGTAGATCGACTCATTGATTCGCTGAAATTAATAATATCAGACCCACGTTAGATCTGTTTGTTGTATCACAAATAGTTTCATTATGTATTAGTTAAAATACGACATAAGAGATAAAATTCTCCCACATAGGCTAAAACAGGTTAATCAACGGTACCAGTTGTGGCTCGTTGAGGTTTCGACGAGCTGCGGACGGACTGGATCGGTGATGGATCGTGATCAGAGGCGCAGGCGATGCAAGAAGTCTGGGTGTTGCCAGAGGGCGTCCAAACAACCTGGCACTTTGGTATACCACGGCACAAGGAGATCGGCCGATTCCCGAATGTGGCGGGGTTACAGAGTAATTGTCAGATTGATGCTGGTGTTGCTGTTCGGTAATCTGTGAATTTATATGGGACAAATTTTTCGTAATTTATAAGCTCAAACTTATCTAATAAGAAACAGGCCTGACAGATTAAGTACTGCTCACTTATCAGTTAAATATAGACTGATCGAGAAATCAGAATTTGCAAGTGCGTATTATTTGAAGTGATTTTCAATGTTCTAAGTCAGTTGTTATAGAAGTATACAATATTGTTCGCTTAACAAGATTTTCTGAGAAAATATTTTTATTATGTTTTCTATATAATGCTTTTAGTTGCATTCAGATTGAACAGGCGACGATTAGGAGGCTTGTTGCTTTACAAAAAAGAATTTAATTTTTCCGTAAACTTGTTTTTTCCAAACAAACCTCTTTTGAAGTAAGTTTGGCTTCCATCACATGGTAGGCAAGTTGATTTCTATAGTGGTCGACTATTCTGCATTAAAAATAGCTTTGATATACTACAGAAATCGACCAGATTGTTACGATGACTGAAACTAACCTCAGATCCTGTCGGGGTAGGGGGTTTTTTCATAACGCGTTGTGTACCGGGACTTTTTGTATTAATATAATTTCTCAATACGCTCTGTACTTTCTTTGTATTGGGAGATCGGAGCTTCCCGACATCGAGGTAGTTGCAATTCTGCAAATCAAACGTGAAAATTATAAACATTCAGTACAACAAAAAGGTTCTAGACGCCTAATAAATTATTGCACTCAAAAATGAACGCCTCGGACCAACCATGCTAGAGTAGTTCGCTCTTTAGAGGTTAGGATTTTGGTCACAACACCTATATGACTATGCGATGTTTACGACGCTAGAGATATATTAAAAACAAACTAGTAAACAAACGAAACGACAAATCTACCTGAAAGCTTTTTTGAAACAGCTGTTTTCGCTGAGCGCTCAATACAGCCCTACCCATGTTTGACGATAGTTGGTCTAAATGGGATGGGAGTTTTAGTCTCTCGTCTACTAAGTCTTTCATGACGGGGATCAAGTCTGAATTCTCCTCACGGTCTCCACTATCCAGAAGAAGCAAATTTCCGTCATCACTTATGTGCTTTTCAGTTGCTTCAAAACATCGCGTATGGGTAGGTGAAGCACCATTTATAATTGAGCTTGTTGATTTTCTGAAAGGAATTAAAATACTCTATAAAATTATCATTAGCGGGGATGCCGAAAATTTCATAATTGACTTTAGTTTGCGGATAGCCTTTTCAGAAGCCACAATTTTTGTGGTTACAGGAAATGCGGCTATTCATTAAAATATCCTATAATCTGATTTAAATCGGTTATACAATCGGCTAATGCTGATGATGAGAGGCGCCCTGAATGGCTACACAATCTCGTTGACGCTCTGCTTGAGTACTAAACTTAGGTGAAAATTTAGGCACTAAACTTAGGAACACATGAGGTGATTTAGGTTCGCAAAAGACGCATTTTGTTTCGTACTAGGAACAAGCCGCCAGAACCGACGATATCAGACAAAAAACTAGAAACAGTTATATTTAGGTGTACGCCGTACAAATTACAATGTTTTATATATATACACGTTACTCAATAAAATTATTGCTCTAAATATGCATTCGTTGGTAGCTCGAACGTGCTGAAAAAAGAAAAAAAAATTAATCAAGCATGCTAATATATTATTTGCTAAAATGTTCATAAAAATGAGTTGATGAGGACGCGTATATATATAGAACGAAACTCGTTAGTAGGTTCGAACTATCATTGTCAAATTAGTTATACTATCGCTACTAGCCAAAACTTCGAAATTTTGAGAGGTGTGCTTTAGATATCTGGTCTAAGATATGTCCTTAAATCGATACTACTTACCAAAAAATTAATATTATGGATATGTAAATTGTATCATTATGATGCATTACCATAATATAAGCATTTCGATGGTAAAGTGCGTGCGGGAACGCATCTCCTCAAGTTCGCATGGGGTGTGAATGCAGTAAAGCTATTCTACGGAGATCACGTAAATCGTTAGGTTTCGTTTACCATAATCGGTTCTTCTAATTCAACAAATCAACAGATGTAGGTACCCGCTCCATATATGTACGGCTTCAGACAATCTAAACCAAATCGTTATGTATAAAGACTTGGTTCAGATTCGCTGCGGTTTATTGTTATTGTAAGATCGGTTTCGATCCTTATATAATAAAACGAGCCAATGGAATTAAATATAAAATTATATTAATTATAATCAATAACCGCGATTTCTTCCTGTCTTCTTCATGTCAAAAAGAGTTATAAAGTTTATCAATTAACCCACCTTGGGCTGTCGATAAGTTGCATTGAGTCAGAGACATCAAAAAACGCAGTGTTCGGATCTGCAGGTCCAGTTTCGACAGACAACGCATCATCTTCACTCGCTGTTATGTCCAGAATATGCACACGTTTATTAAGTCTCTTGTTTATCACTTCCTCTTCGTTTTTTTGTTCAGCAGCTATTGATTTCGAACAATGACTTTCCTCTTTGGTGGCTCCTAGCGAATGCTCAATAAGTGTCGGGCTCGTTAGAACAATCGATATATTCTTAGGCGGCTCACGTTCGTCTCCGTCCTGAATGAATATTCATATAATACGTTATTATTGAGAATAATGCTTATCATTATTATTGTGGCTAGCATGGGTGTGAAGGACGCCTGTACAAAATTTTTATGTTCAACTTACCTATTAACGGTTACCGAAGTGCTGTAAGAATCAATTAATCTAAATTTTAGGAAAAGCAACAAATGAGTTCTTCCATTTTACAGAGGTTAAAATCAAATTGATAAACATCGTTATCTTCAAGAATTATAGACTCGAAAATGAGCCAGGTCACGGAAGGGTTAGTGGATTCATGAAAAATACGTAAGTTAAAAAAGAATACGAGGGAATGGCAGTTCTTCACCGAGACGCTAAGGTCCTACCTTTGTCTCACCCGAAGATAGACTAGAATCGTCGAATATTTCACTGGCAGTGGAATCATCTACGTCGCTAGGACGTTTTTTCAAGACCGTATTGTTGCAATCTGGGTCAGCAATCGTCACGTTAGGGTCACAGCTGTGCCTTCCCAAACGTTTACGTTCGCGAATGTATTTGAGCTGGTCCTCCGTCAAATTAATTTCGATTTCGTCGTCCACTGCAATCGTCCAGATTTGATCCATTAAATACAGCCGAAACATACTCAGTTGAACAACAGTGTAGCTTATCAAAATCATCCTTGCTTATTTAAATTGGTTAGCGTGTGAATAATTATTTGTTGTAGAAAGTCAGCTTTCCCTGAAAAGAGCAGGGTTATGCCAGTCCAGTGTTTAAAATGGAAAAGTTTCTGCACTGTTGTCAAATTGAAACTCCATAGTAAATATTTCTATGTTCACAATCATTGGTCTAGATACTGTCTGTAGAAGTTAGTTCTTCTTGTTTGGTATATGTGATTTATCGAAAATGCGGTACTTTGTAGTTTTTTTATTTGTATATACTTGCCACTCGCGCAACGACTACGTTGGTCAAAGAATCTTAAACAAAACAAAAAAGACAGTACCCAGTTCTAGGTTGGACAACAATCCATACTTTTATTAGCAAACTCTACCTAGATATATTTTAAAATATTATAACAAGCCCGCCAGAAAATACTGCGTATTTTTTTCAGTACACTGATCTGATAGGGGTCAAAATTAGAAAAGCAAGCGTTTCGTGACATTAATAAACGCTTTAGATCAAGCAGTTTTGCAGCAAGCAGTCAATCCAAATGAACATGTTCCATGTAGAGCCTCATTGTTTGCCCCATCGGATCATGATAACATGCTAAGCTTCGAAAATCTGTAACTCGAGCAATCTAAATGACATCAAAAACTAAAACTTATTTGAAGTTTCTTTATATTATTTGTGTATCTGTGTAGAATTGATATTTACCCGTTTACTCGGTATCTAATATGTGAGCCAAACTCGCATAAATTAAAATTCCAGCTTCTTCTTACTCCGAACATAGTTCTCAGTCACAGTGTATGCCTGTGACCATTTCTGTTTACCCATTCGTTTGTCTAACGAAAGCTGAGCATTACCGGCAAACTTAGACATGTTGAATAATCACACACCAAACAGAATTAAAGGGCAAAAGCCATAGAGGACATTAGTACTATGCAGAGAGAATACGGACTATGCAAATAGGATAAAGACATTTGTTCTTGCACAACGCCAGAATTCAATTACTGTTCAATAGATCCACTAAACGTTCAATAGAAAACAGTAATTACACAAGCAAGCAGTGTTTATTAGATGCATACGTGTACATGAGTACATACATGCGTAATGTACTCATGTACATAACGGCCAGCTTCAAGATTGTACAATATTGAACATTCACAAAATAGCTAATAGAGTATGCGTAACCCTGTTTATAAATTTTATTCGTGCTAATGTAGTATATGAAACAAGAATTTAGCTTGACAGCGCGGAGGCGGCAGAAGCCTACGCGGATTCAAGTATTCGCAACCATTTAATGGGACTCTTTTCAGTCGGGCAGTATGGATTCTATGATGTTACCGACGTTCTCAGAATTCAATAATAGAATTTCAGAAGTGGAAAATTCTGCAAATGGAGTTTACAATGAACGGCTAAGCATAACATTGTCCGTGTTAACTCACTTGTTGTATTTTTTTTTTGTTTAAGCCACTTACCAACAACACATTCTTTGTCCGACTGCGCCATAAAAAAGTTTTCCGTGTAACGAAGACTTTAAAAAAGTAAGGAATGCTGGACTCACAAGCCTGGCAGATGTAAATTTAAATTTTCACAGCAGACTTTAACTGTCTAGACCTCTAGGCCGCCTTACCGTATTCGAGCAGACGACCAAAATGTTTTGTTATTCGCGGGCAATTTTAAAATCACGGAATTATTGACGCCAAAGCATCTTTCTATTTATGCTATGAAAGTTCTCCTACACATAGCCTCTATTTGTGTTACAGTGTTGCAATACTGCTTAACCAAGCAAAAAGTTTCTAAAAAAGAATCTGATTTTACATGAAACGTTCTTGGATGTCACGGAGAGGACTTGGCTTTTATACTAGATCACGCATACGTAGGAAGTACTCTAGAAGTACGTAGAAGTAATAAAGAAAATAACTTTTCGCGCAGGTTTTGTAGTATGTGTGGTCGAGAATACTCTAAGCAACAAGTCTATGCTAAACGATAAGCAGTACTTAAATCTTCTAAATGAGTACATACATACGTAGACGACTATAGAGTTTGTAGTATTATATAGTGCTCTAAGTCATAAGTGATATTTAAAATACATAGAAGAAAACAATACAATGAATTATAATCGCAAAGCTTTCACCTGATCCGTGTATCACGCTCCTTTTTCTAACACTGTTTAGATATATATTTAAATAAATTTTTCAAGTTTCATGTCAGAAACCGTTCTTAGGCATTTTATAAGATTTTAAACAATGTCGTAGGAAATGCCCAAGAGTTACGTATGTATAGTGCAAGATACATATAATGAATTCATTTATAAAGCGAAATGTTTATCTGACTTGTGTATCATTATCCGCTCATTGACACAATCCCATTCGGTCTAACCCTGCGAATTTTTAGTGTCTTAAGTGGCCTTAACTTAGTCCTAAAAAGGTTTTTGATCGTTGTGCGCGCAAAGCTTAGCAAGTGGAAAATGACACAGCGGCACGCGGAATGGACAGCATATGCGGGCATTGCCCATACAAGTTTTAGTAATTATTATTTTGGCAATATTAGTCCATTTTCCCTTTTTTGATATAAAACATTATGTTAAATGCAAAAATTCTTTGCTTGTTTTACGGGATTATCTCAATATTTAGTTTTTATTTTTATTTATATTTATTTTAAGGCATATATATATATATATATATTTAATCACTGGCGTTTCCGAAACTTTTCTGTAAAGTTCGATTTCATCATCAGTTGGGACACGCTCTTAGTTTATTCGTGTATAGCAAACGTTTATTGATGTACAACAAACCCTATATTTTTTTAATTGATTTCTACAAGATTTTTACTGCTTTTAAAGAGTCATATGTTTGTGAAGTGACTTCGGTCATTATTGATAGGGTAATATCACTTCGGGTGTGATTCTTCACTTTTATTGTGTGTTTGGAACTGAGGGAGAGAAGGTTTACGAGCGAGCGAAATACCCCTAGCCATTCTGCTTGCTTTAAAGAAAAAAGCAATTTTACGAGAACTAGAATAAATTTTCAAGCATTCAAAAATAACCGTCATAGGATATTTCTGTTTTCGGGCTTTAAGATATTTATTATTACGTAGTACGTACTATAGTAGTATGTATGTACTGAGGGAGGAAGAATAGCTTGTTTAGTCTATTGCAGGATTATGTAGGGACCTAGTAACTTTTACAATCGGATCCTTAAGGAGTCTTAAAGTGTTGCGTATCTATTTCACAGTGTTTATGAGATTAAGAAGCTAAGAGCTACTTAAGAGGGCCGCCGAACTGAGATAATTAGTATTTTTTTAGAGAGTGTAAAGGTACATATTCCATTTCTATGTTTCGAGTTAAACGTCCCGTATCACCGATAGGCATTATTCCGTCAGACAGAAGGCTGGCCCTCATCACAAAACGAAGTCTGTCTGTCTATATCCGGCTGCAAACCTAAACCACAACATGCGCTGAAGATTAGGCCGCAAACATGTCACCCACTAAGATATCAGGGGGATATTGCATATTGCCCATCTTCACTTTTATGAGAAACATTTTTCGACTGAACCGCTTTTAACCCAGTTGTTAATATTTGAAAAATTAGAAAAAAAAAGCATAAATTATTTGTAATGGGTCGGATTACGTGGTTCAAAAACAAAAAAAAAAGTTCACGAAGTTTCGCTTGTGCGTGGTTAACTCCCTCATGGTGGACTACTGCATAAACAGCACGAAGATGTAGCCTAAATGTCAATAAAGAGGGGTAAGTGGTCGATATTTAAATAGCTTTGCTTTATAGTTTGCTTTATGTTAGTACTAAAATTCTGAGAAGCGTAACGAAGACATTAATCATTTTTTTTCAATATAGGGCATACATTTAAATATAAACAATATTAAAATAGCATCTTCAGAATGAACGTAGCTTAAATCAGCAAAGACATGATCATATTTAGATCTATAGTTAATATATTTAAATGCTGTGTATTGATGAAAGAGTTGAGAGCCCCGTTCTGAGCAGTATAAAGAATACCGTATGGGTTCCGTTTTCAATCATATTTCAGTTACATAGTTTAGATTTAGCGAGTGAAGCATCAATGAATAAGTAATATTTAGTGAGAATTCACACGACTAGCTTTGAGGTACAGCTTATAGGGTTATCTGTTTCTTTCAACGCATCGTCACGGATATACCTAAAGAAGATGAGATTACTCTACTCTGAATTGAATAATATACTAATCTTCGTTAAGCACAAGAGACTGACTAAGATCTTCTGAAAGGAAAATAGGTATCGTAAACGGATATGCCTTATCCATGGAGTAGATATCAAACAGTGCTCTATTAAGCCTTTATCAATCCTTACGCCAAATTCTAACGTTACTTAAAAGAGTTCGTTACAGAACAACCGATCCTCGCCGATAAGACAGTATTCGCTATTTAAGCACTTCTATTTCATAAATCGACTCGATTTTTGCCACTATGTATTTGTTCTGTTTATCCAGTATGGACAAAAAAAAACAATTTATCTTTACGAAAAATTTTAAACGAGGCAGTTCTGCATAGAAATAACAAAAAGCCTCATATCATACCGTGCAGCATAGTTCTGTCCTACCTACAGAAACTGTTTCGAGTAAAATATTGAAAATTAGTCAGGGAATTTTTGTGATTATACAGCCAAAATTTCAAACGGAAATTAATCGATTATAATAAAAAAGAAAAAATAAGAAAAAAACTTGTCGTCAAGTGATATTTGCATAAAATAAGTGCGAAGTGTCTACTCTATCCGAATGGAAAATACAACCGAGCTTTAGTGCGTATTTCTATCGTCTCGTTAGCTCAGTCTAGGGGGGCATAATTTTCACTTCACACAGGAAAGGATGTCAGCGAAACGTCCTTTCAAGGACCGCTCGCATACTCAAATCCGTTTCCCATAGTTTTACGTAGTTCAGCGCATCTTTCATCAGAATCCAGTGTTACATGCCGTGGATTATTTTCGGCGGTGTTTCATATGCTTTGTTCTTTGCATAACCTTATAGAAAAAATTGGATAGGAGTAAAATCGCAGACCTGGGGCGACCATTTGATGTTATCGCTGCGCAACGAGACGACCCGCCTTGGGAACATGGCTTTAAACAAACTGATTGTTTCCTGTGTGAAGTGGCAGGTTATTTTATCTAGGCAAGACAAAAGGTTTTTTACATCCAGTGTTCGCATTTCGGTGCGGTTTAAATTGTTAAGGACGACGTGGTGTTTAAGTTATTGCATCGACGTCTACCTTGCTCGTGACGCTGTAACTTATTCGCGAATGAGCCAGTTTTTTTACAAATTTCTTAATCGACATTCGTGTTTTTCGCTAACGGAAAGTGCCGACCGTATTATCTGCGACATTAACTAAATATCATCTTAATGGGCTCCTCATCTTTTTAAAAAGTCTTACGAAAAATTATTGCTGAAAAACCGTGTTTCTACAAATCGTGGCTTTTCATCATCGCAGACCGCAACCGCTGCTATGTTTATCGCCCGACAATCTGCTTACCCTAACTTGTTTCCAGAAATGATTTAAGCTCAAAAACGACTCTAGAACACTCTATTTTTGTTTAAAATGCTCGAGTTTCGTGATGCTCCTAATTGCAGCATTCGTAGCTCGTTCAGTTGAACTTCTTTTTCCTTGTGTAGTTTGTGAATAAATGATTGGCTATATGGGAACTCGTGAAGATAAGCTAGTCTTGCGCAGCTTTACGATAAGTGCTTCTTGGCAATATGATTACCAGAATTTCGAGGGTAGCTTGTTTATTTAGAAGGAGACGCACTTTTCATATTGTTTAATTAAAAAACTTTTTCCTACCGTTATTAACCGACAAACACTATTCATTCTGAGTAATAAACTATGTAGAGTTACGAACACATAGAGCTGTAAATCATAGCGACAATAAATAAATTTTTTAAATTAACAGTGTTGCTTTAAAACAATAAAAAATGAACCAAGGTAACATAAAAAATCTATAGTCATTCGACATTCATTGTTTTCGTTTCCTTCACCCAGCATTACATATTTCATGGATGCTAAGACTGTATACTTAGCACTAGACTTCCTAACAATAATCTTTTAGTCTCACTCCCATTTGTCTCTTTACACTCTTAAATACTTAAATTTTCTGAAATCTATGAATAAACTAAACTTATGAATTTCACTATTGAATAATTCAGAGTTAGCATACCGTACAATTTAATACATCCTTTGATTATAACCAGTTAAGCCATATTGGATCAATAAATCTTTCGACAGACTCATGCAAACATAGAAATTCCGTATGCGGATTCGAGGGTCATCTCGTATGCGCTGCCCCTTTCCAGGCGCTATTATGTTTTTTTAATTTGCATAGATTCTGCCCAAGATGACGTGGTTAGCGACGAGTAGATAGCCAGCTAGGCAAACAGTTGTTTGACGCCTGTCGGGCCTTTTGTGGCCTTTCGCTTACGCTAACAGGCGAAACCGGCGATGCAACTGTTTCTCGGCTTCTCAAAGTGGGAAAACATAGGCTATTAACTTAAATACCGCCATAGAGCTGTTTCTGTGGGAGGAATGAGTGATGTCCAGTAGAATGGAAGGCCTAAAACACTTGTCTGCTAGCAGCGAGACGGTCGATGAGATGAGTTACTTTGCTTGCTTTTGCTACTATATATTTCACGTTGCCGGGTCATCTCGGTGGCCGAACACACAAGAAAAGTACGGCATTTGTATCATCATAGCAATATGTATGATATGAGACCATTGACGCCGCGTTTGGCCAGAGCTCTACATTAACGTGTCAGTAGGAAGTCTATACAAAATATACGAGATAGATAGCTCAGGTTTTACACATTCGAACTGATTTGCTATGTGTCAGATAGTTATTTCGCTTGGTTTAATAATAGAATCATAATGAAACTGCTCACAGAGTCGAATCTTACTTCATACTGTTGAATAGATCTTGTAAAAATGGCGAAGCATCTTAGACCAAGTACCTCTGACGAAAATGAAAATATAGCGATGCTAAGCTCTGAGGTAAATTCGGTGCCCTGATGTAGACTCATGGGGTCGGTATGATGCTACGAAGCCAAAACTATTCTCTACTTTATCGCGGCCACTATGGGGAAGGCATCCCAAAGGCACACTCAAACGCAATTAGGACCTACGACAGGATAAACGCTACTGGGTAGCTCTAAACCGCATGCAAACGATTTAACATATGTAATGCAAGCATTTTTTTCCTTCATGTTTATATTAGTTTCAAGAACACAAGTGCTAATACCATGTGAGTAAATACTAAAAGTAACCATAATTTCATCACAGCTTACGACTGTTTGTGGGATATTATGGCCGTCGTTAACGGCTTATACGTTATCGAGTCAAATATTTGATCCCCTTATATATATCTTCATATTTTGCGGACGGTAACACAGCAACGTATGATACATGGAAATTTCAACGTTACGATATGTTATAAATCGACAGCGGCGGATAGTTTCTTGTAAATGAAATTTGTCGACGGACAAAAGCGGTTGCCGTTTGCATTCGTAGTAGAGTAGCGCTAATTAGCCGTCAAGCGTTAACAAAAAATGTTTGATTTCATACCAATTTATGGTATACTACTCATCTAATACAAGCCTAATGTATATTGAAAAACAATCCTGTATAAGGATTTCGTTTAGAGTATTCATTTCGGCAAATATCCCTATAGTTTTCTGGCTTATCTTGTAGAACTTGAATACAACATAAGTGATACCGTCGCATATCAAATTAGTTAAATGCCGAGCAGCGATATGACTAGCAGACTGTGGAAAAAAGCAGAAGCACAATTTCTCCGCTATCTAAGCCTTAGTTAAGTGCTCGGATTTATGCGAAATCACCTAGGCGTATACGACACACAGCATGTTTGTATCGTGCTGATACCGTTGAAGTTTGCAGCCGTGAAGTGTCCGACACGAAAACCACCACACTAGTGATGTTACGTCCGGTATCATAACTTACGGAACTTAAAAAGCTGAGCGAGTGTTTCGCTTAAATAAGCAACGACAGAGTTGAAATGATTATCAATAATGAGGGTGCTATTTTGAACCAAGGCTCACAGATGTTACAAAATAGGCGAATATGTTTCTGTTGGCAAAGGCATGAAATATATTAAAGCAAAGAACAGCACCCCTGCATAATATAGCGATTCTTTTTTAATATATGATAAATTATTCACCTAGTTCACCCACATACTTTTGCCTTGCTGACCTAAGTGAGCTGGTAGTCTCCCTAGGCTTCTAAAGTGCAAACTACGCTATCTAATAGCCATGCATAGTTATAAAAGACCGGGCAGAAAAGTTTTTGTACATCGCGAAAAGATACATGGCATAACGGACGAACGACTACGACCCGGTGGGGCAATTATCAAAATTTTCTCACACTTAGACAATGCTCTTAAACAAGATTTTTGTTATATTCATTCAGAACCTACGAGTCAAGAGCTAGCTATATAAATCTGCTCCGCATGAAAACAGGACATTTGACTTAAAATCATCATATACTAAATTATTGTTCTTTATATTTATTTATATAAGCTATTGCATTGTTCATATGCGGGTGAATGAAGTTGTTGTGCTGTCACGTGACTGTGGGCTTGTATCAGTATCGTGGAGAAAATTCGGTCATTTTGTCGCTTAGATGCGTGAAGTTTTCGAGAGCACTTAAAAAAATGACGAAGCGATTTTTCGATTCTCCAAAAAGATTGTGTACGTAATATGCTAAGTCAAATGTTCATCAAATGAAGCACGTTTCGAATTCAGTACATAAAAGATATGCGTTCAATGCTTAGGTTGTACATTTCTTCGTGGTAATACCCACTTCTGACCTGCCCACCTCAACGTGGACCTGTAACCTCCATTTGGTGAGTTCCGTGAAAGAGGGAAGGGGGTTTTGGCTAACTGATTTTGCGGCTCTTATGCGATGGTACCCTCTACCGTAGGTTGATGAATTTCTAAAAATAGATACCAAACTCACCATGCAGGTACATAGGTGTGCAAATATAGTCGGCAATGTCTGCTGCAAATACGTGTATGTAAACAGCCAAACATCAATGGCGTTTTAAGTGGGTTGTAAAAAACATGTCCTTATAGTAAGAACGTCGGCGAAGAGCAACCTGTCGTACTGATAGATGAACGGGGACCTTCAGATATCCAGTATAAGTACTGCAAAGGGTTTCGATTAAAGATGCTATCTTGTTTGCTAAGTGGATAGTCTATATGATACAACTGAGGAATAGACATTACCTAAACCATATTGCCCAATAGCCAACATCAACGTCAATATCACGGTATAGCAAATATTCCCAAATTGAAAATTACAAGGTGCCATAAGGAGCTCGGCATCGGAAATTCCGTTAGCCATTCATCTACAATTATTGTTTATTTACCAAGCTCTTCATCTCTAACGTGTTACGTAAAAACACCAGAAACATTTTTAACTATTACACTTTAGAAATTGCTCAGGACCGCCTATGGTTGGTGTTTGGTTTAGGCCCAAAGCCTTCAAGTTGATATCTTTATTCCGAATTCACAACTTCTGTCACCACCCTTCTGGATACACCGTGTAACCGAATGCTGCTGAAGTTGCCTGGCCTGCTACGTTAGTCTATTATACCAGACAATACCATCTCCACAGTCAATGCTGAACGGAAAAGTCACCTAATTACTGTTCCTAAACAATGAGTGCCAATATTATTCAAGATTACAGACCAAAGCGGCCGGTAGATGCTGATATTCTATAAAATAAATATTGTAATTCTTTCTACGTGTTTTATCTACGACAAAAAAAAGTGTGTTACCCATTCACCGAGGATCTAGCAAAACAGGCTTCGTGAGCTGTGTGACCCATTAATCATTATCGGCTATAACAAATAGCTCTGAAAATCCTTTGAAGCCAGGCAATCATTCACGTAAAAAAGATCGTTAGTTCAATGCTGATCTTAATGTTACACGTCAAGTATTATGTGTAGCTAGCAGACAACGTAAATACGGATGGTCGTAAAGAGCACAATTTTCTACATGGATTTAAAGAAGAAAAGCAACGTTAACTCAATGACATTTGTCGTTCTCCAGAGAGACTAAAAGCTCACTTTATGTATAGCGTCAGAAGCTATTAAATATATACCCTCGATTCAGATTTAGATAGATAATCCCGTCCGTCTGTAACGAGATGGCATTCCGATATTGTAGATGTAAGTCGTAGGTCTCAATCGCGGCCATGAGGACCTATCTAGGAAAAGATTCGACTACGATGGTGTTAACCATTAGAGGCGATTTCTCGATCAGTTCCCGCGTATCAGATTTTAACCACTGTGTCACAGGCGAATCAGACGAGATTCTTTATGAAGCTTGTCGTGGGCGATCGACACGATCTGACTCGACGTGTAGCGGATCTGAGGACCTTTAGCATCGGTGGTATATGCCGAGGTAGTTATTACACTTTGGACAGCGATGTTCAGCGTTCTTAAAACCCGCTGAGCAGCACGGAAGGAAACAACAACCGCAAAAACAGCCCATAGCCATTAAGATGAACGCGGCAACATAGCTGAACATGCCTGGAAGAGAAATGTTTTGTAAACGTTAATAATTACTCAGTAGGTTTTAGGTAACCAACTAGATAGAACTCTGAACACGTTTGACAGTTGCTTCAATGACGAAACGCGATGTTTGCCGTAACTGCCGCTAACAGAGCTGTTTACTGTTCTCATGACGATAGCAGTCTGAGTATACGTACAAGTTAGACCACTCTCCGATTCCGAGGCTGAAAAGCCTCCTATTTTTCGAGAATAACTTTTTGGGCTGAATTAAATTTTCCTTGGAATAATCCAAGTCAATAAATCTCTAATAAATAAATTTTGTCGGGCAGCCTATGCCACAAGAACACTGTGTAGGAAAATTAGTCATTTTTGCATGGTAACATATTCATATTTTATTACATTCAAGTCAAATCAACAACAAAATTGATCGATGACTAGTTAAATTGCTTGAAGTCAAAGGCCGCTATTGAGAGATACGATTAATCTTTTATAAGTGAGCGACATATTGACGAATACCCGCCCTTCACTTTTGATTTACCCTCACTCTTAAAGTGAACTGCTCTGAATAAAAGTGGTTACTATTTTAATTATGCCATCGGCGTGGAAATAACTTGGCAAGAATGCTCATGCAGATTGCGACAATATGCGCAGTTGAATCCATACTTAGACCGTACCCTAAAAGCGGATGCCGGCTGTTCACTAACCCATCATTAGATATAAAAGAAATGCCGTACACACGAACGGCCATGTTACGAACTACTAGCGCTTCTACCATAAAATCTGCCAATTATCCATAAAATATTCCAATAAATATAAGACCCGTTGTTTTCTACATCCTTTGTCCATTATACAGGGCTAAAATGTCTACACGTGGTGATTTAGTTTTTAAATTGAATTAAAAAACAACACACTTTATGGAAGTCAGCCATTTTTGGTACTGGACTTAAAGTCGAAAAATGTATTACAATTTGCAAGGGGTAATATCTTTATCCACGTTCATATTCTATTTGTTCACGCGCTATCATGTTCAATTCGCATTGAAAGGAACGCACTGCACAGCTCTAAATGAAGCCATATAATAATAGTGTATAATATTTATTTTCAAGATCCACGTAAAATAGTTCATATTGTTAAGGCTTACGGAAAAGCTGCTGAAATCGGCTCTGATGGCTTACTGAACTGGGATATATTCGATACGTTTTTCAAATGAAGCTCCGAAATCGTTTGCTGAACTTTCCTAGATGGGCAATAGAGGTTGATGGAGCTGTCTGCTATCGTGAAATCTAAACGTTGAACAGGGGGGCGAAAGAGCGGAGAATCGACCACTGCTTCGTATATGCATGTGACATTGAGGAACCCTCTAACATTTATTAGAGCTACTTGTGACATTAAAAAATAGCTAACTAGTACTCCACGAAGCTCATTATTAATTGATATAGCTGAAATCTGTCGCATGTATGACCTCTTTTTTGATTCCAACTAGTCGCGTACTGCCTTCTGGTTGAAGTCATACCATTCATCACTATTGCCACTACAACTCTTTTTTCGGGACCATATATCGAGCAGGAAAGTCTAAAGTGTAAAAAATTTTTGAATTATAACCGTAAGCGTAATGAAAGCAGGCACACTCATACGGCTTGTCGAGGAAATCTGAAAACATTTCTGTCGAATCTGATCATGTTGGTCAGAGGTTTGACTCTCAGTGGTCATCATTTCGGAACACGCTGATGTGATGTCGAACTCTAATGTCTAGATAATCTTTAACACCTGAAAGCAGTTAGCGACGAGCTAGAGTTAACTGCTCAATTCTAAAATTCTACTTAAAAACATCGAGTGTCGAAAGCTGTTTCTCTAGAGCTTTTCATTATTATAATTTATCGATAGGTCGTAGGTTGAGAACAATCGTGGAATACTAGTTGTAACGAGTGTTCTAATTTTGTTGACGGTAAAGAGGTTGGTATCATAAGCCGGTTCAGCATAAATCACATGTTCGAATCTGACATGCTAAATCACACAAGTATTTCTTTAAACAGGCGCTTCCGTTTACATCAGACTTTAACAATCTTATGCAATAGGCCATTGATCACTAGGGTAAGTTGATTTTAGGTAAGGCAAAAACACGCAACCCAAGGTCTACTAACCGGCGCTGTACTCGATGTCGGTCATAACGTGCATGGCGCAATATGGACATTGAATCTTCATCTGGTGGGGTCCGTAGGCTACAGAAGGTGCAGGCCAGGGACGTGGTGAGTTTAGAAGCACGCTTCCCTCAGATCCACCATCCGGAGATGGTGAATGTGTCCTTTGAAGCCGTCCTGGAAAGAAACAGGGGTAATAAGTATTCGATAAAAGCGCGACATGCTATTAGAAAATGGCTTCGTTTCGCCTCTGGAAAACTCCTTGTAGGAGTCCAGCGGCTGCGATCCCAAACAAGTACGCTCGAAGCGATGTTCCACAAAAAGCGCCTTTAACGTGAAGCTGATGATATAAAAGATCTTGTTCCTCATACTTTAAACCATACGTCTAACTAGAAAAAAGGTAGGTGAAAAACACCACTGAGGTCAATTTTGCAAACCCCCGAACAGGAATGATTTCCTTGATTCCCAGTTCCAGCTTAGTATATATCATCAGCAGAAATAGATAGTCAGGTCGATGTTGAGAGCGCATGCGGGATCCGCCCGAGACACTCACGATGCTTGAATGCCGCCCACCAATTAAGCGATGTGGAATCTACCATATTTTCCTAGCTCTTCAAGAGCCGCTACTGCCGAAGAAGTTCGACTCTTTTTCCAAGGAGGTATGGGCAAACCCATTTATGCACGCTGCAATATCTAAGAATATACTTGTAGTAGTCAACGATAGAGACCTGAATCAAGGATTTATAGAACAATTCTCTGAGAAAAGGTGGAGGCCTATTCGTGACTAATGCCTATTAAACAAGGATCCTCTGCTGCACATAGCCCAATCTGAAAGGAGTTCGATCTAGCTAGCACTATATAGCAATAGTTACCTAGCTTATTTCTAAACACACTGTCGTAGACAAAGCGTTGCGTAAAAGTTAACAGTAGCAGCGGGTTGACTCCCTTCTTAGTGCCTACATAACCTTAGCTCATAACTAGCCATATAAGCTACACCAAGGTCATTACTATTTATAATGTACCCTTCGAGTACGGTTGCCACTTTTTTGATTGAGTTTAACAGAAATGAAAATTAGACAAGTGTATGTACAAACGTAGATAACTTCCCCTATTGCACACGTCGATACCCCTCTATATTTATTTCTGATAGAAGAAATCATATCCGCATCTTTACAAAGGTGCCAATTGCACTTAACGAATATCGAGATTGCCATACCGACGAGGTCACTTCAGATCAGTAATTATCACTTACTGCTTCTGATATTCGTATTACACAAAAATTGGTTTTATATTATATAAGGCTAGTCATTGCGAAAAACGTTATCACAGTTTCCAAAGCAAATGCTCACCAACATCGTTGCACGGATAACTCATATTTGAGGGTTCTGTTTTGGTTCAGCCACGAGTGTGTTAGTCTGTAGTTGTTTATTTAATATAAAATAGCGGCCCGGTGTTTTGCTGTCAACTCTGACGGCCGTTGCGGTATCGGAAAGGGCGTAGACAAGGTGGGTGACCTACCTAGCCTTGCGTTCTGTCACCGCCTCGAAGCAACACGACTCAGGCCACTGAGGTTGGTGAGTTACAGCAAAACTGCTGAAGCCCGTGAAACTCAGTTGCTCACCCAATAGATAAGGGAGGGTCAAGCGTGCGCGAGCTCTTTTTGACGTAGGCACTCATCTTTCAGAATCTGACTAAATCGTCGAAGGAATGAACGACTCTCTAAACGCGTATTCTGTGCTACTTTCATATATGTCTGCTGGTTTCAATTTATGTATAGAAAATTACAGTGGTTCCGAATGAGGCCATTAGGACTCGAAGAGCTTGTTTATTACTATTATTCAATCAAAAATATGATATTCTTTGAAATTAACTTTCCAGCTACGTATGAATAATTCGATGAGTCTTTTTCGAAAGTACGATGCTACACTGTTTTGACTGGCCCGTGACTTTTTACATGGTTACAGAAAACTACAGTTATGCATAAACGCGGAAACTCTCATTGGCTCTAAGCAATATTTACTCTCGTCAGGTTCTAATTTTATCATTTGGAAACACGAACTTCGTAACAGAGTCTGGGCACAAAAATCTTTAGGTAGCTTATTAAAAGCCGGACGAAAAAGGAAGAATATCTGCTACCAGCTTATATGTGCATATTTAAGTGGACTGAAAACCGTCGTTTATTTCTATTTCACCGCAGAACTCCATTACTTTTAATTACGTTAATCCTTCGAGCAAAAAAAAAATCGTCCGATCATATTTTCCACATGATGCATTGCCTTATTGTTGAAGGACAATAACTACTGTTTTTTTTTATGTTACTTGAATTATTTAATCTAATAAAATTGACATTCTGTTTTTTTTGAGATATGAGAAACATCTATATAGAACCGCGCATATTTTTAGCGCGTTCCTAAGAACAGGTTTTTTGGAAGGGTGTGGAACTGCCGCGACCAAAATGAAAAAGGTGGAATAGGCCTTGTGCACCGAAAAGCGAAAACATAATGCCGCGGTACTTCAACCGACTTGAGCGTATATTATAGACACACAAGCATACCTATGTTGTACTCTTACTATATCGAAACAAAGAACTGCTCAATGTACAGTTAGCGACGGTCCTAGAACACTTAAAATCTAGGTTATGTTGTCAAACATAACTATAATTAAATCATTGGCTTAGAAATACATACCCAATCATTTTTCGAATAACAGGAACGGAAATCGTGTAGAATATTCTTCAGAGCATGCCAGACACTGGTTAAAATACCTGGCACTGCCTGTTTTTACCTGTAACCGAAAATTAGCGTCCTCTAAGGCAGATTTTTCTAAGTTGTCTCTCTTCCGTTTTTCTTTGCAGATAAATGTCATTATTTAGGTCTGTATTTACGGAGTAAATAAATGACATTCAGGGAATTTCCAAGTACCAGTCTCCTCAGTTGCCTTCAGGCAACTATCCGTCCGTATATAGTAAATGTTTTGATCAAATATTTATATATTTTTTCCAAATTAATGGCCAATTAAAAACAAATTATAATTATTATTATTATTAAAAGAAAATATTCCTTCATTTAAGATTCTGCGCAATCAGTTCGATTGGATCATTGAAACAGGCAAAGAAATCTGCTAGCAACCTGAAATATAAGGAACTCCCATTGAATTTTCTTTTATTTTTATAGCTTATAAGTTTTGTTGCACGTTGGCTATTGCAAATGAACCTATAGCTTCGATCATACGCAACTTTAAAGTTCTTCATTGTTCACTGAGCACTTATTAGTTGACATACTAGCTTGTCTGTGTTTAGGATAACGGCGTTCCGTTACCGCATGTCGTGCAATTCTATAGTAGATCTGAAAATGATAGTAATATATGTTCTTGAAATCGTTTTGAGACGACTGTCTTAGCAGTCCTTAAAAAATCAATGTTTTAAACAACAAATAGAGTTTCTAACACTTTTGTCATCTTGAAAAATGCGAACGAATCTCAAGGAAAACAATAGTCCGTATCAGCTGAAAAAAACAAATTAGTTTTTAAATATTATTTCTGAAATTCTTCAACAAGATATAGGATTTATAGGAAAGAAGAATTCGTAGAGAGATCAACCTTGAAATTTATTCTAGTTCATGTTTTCCATTATGTCCTACCTTAAGGCCACGCACCAAGATGTTACTCTTCAACGGGCACGCCTCTCGCGCTCTCAATAACACTAGGCCAGTTCCTAGATCAACCCTTCATGAAAATTATGATGTCTTAGTCAAAACTACTGCTCAAAAGATACTGCATGATTGTCAGAAGAACGACTGAGTCTATCCTTAAATTTGTCTTTAAGACAGAAACGATTGGCAACTAGTACGGTAAAACCAATCTTACCCGAAATGGATGGAACCAGAATTTATTTGTTTCATGGTTTTTTGTCTTTTTGCGTTTATAAAACTGTTACTTTAGTACCCGAAGGATACTGGATATGATCTTATAACACAACTGTGGAAAATATTTATCGAAACCTACTTCAAGTCAAGAATCTTGTCAATCGTTTAGGTTTCATAAGGTGAAACCTTGGGTTACCAAGGGTTTCACTTAACAAAGACTTAGACGGAACTTGAATGATTCTAAGTAATACTTGCTTCTAGTAGAAGTAATCTGTTGATCAAACATGAATGGGTCGTTTGTTTCATATTGATTTGATTATCTTAATTTGTTTCTTTCGAAAAAAGCTCTCCTTGGATGTAACACACTTATGCTACCGTTTTTTCCAGCCCACGAAACGCTTTTCTGGTTCAGCTTACCTACTGAGTTTTCTCCTTACATCTTAAAACGCTCCAAGAACAGCTCCTTTTTCACACAAAACCCAACGAACGTTCGTTGTTTCATTTGGACGGAACCGTAGAAAGCTCGATATATAGGTTTATGTGACCAGGAAATTCGCGATTACGCCAAATTGTTAAGAAACTTCACCTCTGTGTGGGCAGAGACCTGCTATCTTGCCAAGACAAACATGAATGACAAGCTGCCATATTCTGACGCGACTCATCAAAAGACTCATTCATTTCTGACTAAAGGGTTATATGAAAAATGCCAACATTTTTCAAGACGCATTTTAATTACTACCTGCTGAATACTCCTCCAGCCGCTCGGGTACCATAAAACAAGTGAAATCTAACGTTATAGCCCTATATGTAGCACCATTGAGGACTACAGAATGTTGTCTCGAAATCACAGTTTCACCGCAGTGACTGTATACCTAAGGTAATATTTACGGGTCTATGTATTAAAACGCAGGCTGCTTTCCGCTCCTGATGCACAGACATGCCCTCAAGCAGTCAACCCTCTGCATGCTGGCACTTGTTGGAATACCTTGATCTATTATAGGTGGCGCAAAATAGTCAGAGCTGCGCAGTTATTTGTGTGCTTTGTAATCTAAATTCTATATAGAACCCCAACGTTATTTATTTCACATTAACTCCAAAGCAGATACGATCTTATACTAGCTGTCTATATTAATGTCTATATACATATGATATATATCTATGTATATAATGTCTATATTAATATCAATAATGTTACTACATATTGCTTTTTAGTAAGTTGAGACACTGTTTATGCTTTATTATGAGTTATATTTGCTGATAGGTTGTTTCACGGAAGTAATATGTGGATTACTATACTCGGGGTTCTATCACTATACCCTTCAAGGTCAATGCTATGCTTTTACACTATAACCCCACGAGGAACGGACATTTTTTTTCTTATTCAATAGCGCTCTGAAAATAACCAATATGGTTGATATTGACGATTAATTTTTAATGTTCGTATCTCCAGAAGACCCATCTGAAGAGTTCGAAATTTCGTTCTTAGGATTCCTGAAACCAAAGGCTTCCAGCAGTAGATCCTTCATCGATTAAAAGGTTTGTCCGACGACCTGTCTTTGCCGCTCTAGCTTTAATACGAGCCAGACGCCGCCGCCGCTCGTGTGTGTTGACCCGGGGTCGATAAAAATTGAATGGCTAGGAAGGAGGACGTAGACTTTATCGTCAAGAGCACTCGAATTCAACCTAGCACTGGCTTGTCTCATACAGCCGAATCGAATACAAATGTACAAAACGGATCTAACGCCGCCATTAGAACAGAAGGTCGCCAAGAAATCTTTGACAACGAATATTGAAATTTTGTGAAGAACTGGGTCGCAAGGGGTGACATTGATAAAGGACTCTTCAGCGACTCTGTAAGATACCCGCTGGATCCTTGTAAACCTGCTTTAGATCGAAACACCAAGAACGTCCCGCCTGGGAATGAGAGAAAATAACGCGACTGTTAATATTGCAAATGACATTATATATTGTTAGTAGCATGTGATTAACATTGTTTCTAGAAAAGGCGATTAATAACTAACCATGACAGTAACTACACAAAGTGCAGAAAAAGGTTCGGCATGTAAGAATAGCGACAAAACTAATTGTGATTTAACGTGAGAGACCACGCAAGCATTGGTTATATAATACTAGGGTGCCCCTGTCACAAATTGTTCTTCTGAACGAAATTGGTTATCAACCTCTTTTTCGCTAAGAAATATCTCATTGTCCTATACAGATGATGTTGGGTTATCTTTCAAACAAACACATTCAAAATGACTGTCTAGCCATTAAGGTGACAGCGGGACGTACCCCGGGGTTCTAGACGGCATCATTGCTATGAACAAACATGGTCATCAAAGGTCTCTTACATTTGAGGACTACGCCGCAGGATGTGGAGTTCTGAACAAAAACTGATAATTTAACATATATCAAAAACTGATAACAGTAACCTCAGTTTGGAAGCAAAGAGGCTATAAGGACGCACGACGTACCGATGAAAATTGTGTAACAGGTAGAGGAAAACAGCCTTACATCGGCCTCAGTCAATAATAAGGTCGTCATTTCAGTTTACAGGGATAAGTGCTAATACAACACGCTGAAAGGATGTTGCATAAAAGCCTAATACATTTTTTTACTACAAAATGCGTTGACAGGCCAAAAAATGTCTTACATATTTCTTCACTTGAATGTTCACAAGACATAAAGAATCCGAAACTACCCCCACTTAGTAGGTTAGACCTTATTAGATATTTATGTCAATAACTGCAAGCAAGGCTCGAAAGACAATGCAATCGTCACCTCAGTGAGATGTGCGGGACTCGAAATTTCTCAAGAAAAAAGAGGATTTCTCAAGAAAAATACTGTGGTCGGAAAGAGAATAGAAAATGGCTGAGAGAGTTCGCTTGAGACGGTAATTGATCAAATTGTAAATTGGATGCCGCATACAAGCACTTTTTCCAAATTACCCGACAAACGCTACTTATACAATAAAAAATAATTAGGATAGTGCCATGCTGGCAGCAAAACAGGTAAGTGATCCATTCGAATTCTTAACTATGTCATACCTATAGTCATTGTATTTTAAGGCGTGTGTGTGTATGATCACATTGTATGTTGGTTTGTGTGTTTTCAAGCCTAGCAAAACAAATAAAAAGATTAATGAATTTAGTTCGTTATTTTACATTATCGTCTTCGGAAAGGTAGCTATGGATCAATAGTTTCATATGTTATTGTCCATAAATTGGTTTTCGAGACCTAATAAGCTGTCGAACTTTCGCATATTGCAGAACGTTGTCTGGTAAAAGAAATAAAGAGATATAATTGTTATGTTCAGGACGTAAAAGCTTTACTAGTTTCAATAAGACGTATTCACCTTTGTCGAATATATCACAAGGTAAAATCTTTTTGTTTAAGACTGTTAAGCATTTAACAATGCAAACAGTTAGCTTGTTTTTGAAATATTTTCAAGTTTACCACATTAGAGGGAGTTGTGTCTGCATAGTGCATAATGTGCTTTACAAGAAGGCCAAAAATACTGAAACTATCATTTGTTTGTATTTCTTCAATGAATTTCTGTTGTTAATCGTGAAATTCTTGCGGGAGGTACATAGACTATCCTAAACGGTTTATGGAACACAAAGCACAGACTACATAGTGTAGCTTCAACTTTGCCGCTCACGAAGTTTCTCTGAAGCGGAAGTTGGGTACCTGGTACTCTGATCCAGGCGATATGAAAGCTTTTGATAAGTTAAAAAATTCGTTGTGTTTGTGAACATAAAAGTATCGACCAATAATAAATGCGTTTCCGGAAATACCTATACTGTTCAATGTACGATTCCAACAGCAAAGTGTGCTAGTGTACCAGCCAATACTGACACGTCTCTGTAAATTCTTCTCACCAAGAGAAAGCAACACGGCTTTTAACATCGAAAGACGAAATAGAAGTCAAAACGATGACTTGAAAAACGCATCCGAACAACCGTAATTGAACCGTAACCGCATTGAAAATCGTCCGAGCGGGTCTGGCAGAGCTACAGAAAAAGTACAAGGAACAAGAAGCCCTTAGAGATCACTCTTGAAAATTGACAGATGAACTACAATATGAAGTCTAACTCGAAGACAAGTATATACTTGTAATGCTATTTGAAGGAAAAAAGACTTGATTTTTTTTTATTTACACTAACAATATAGTGTAAAATAGTGTAAACAGCAAAAAAAAGCATGGCCCTCAGGTTATACGTCTGCTGGTAGCGAAAAGAACTAGCTGGATTGAACGTGAAAAAACTTCGAAGAGCTGCAATTCTGCTTTAGCAACGGTACTACTAATACCGTTATTACTATTCTATAGAACTTCTCTAGCTTCCTTATAAAAAAAACCGAAGCTCCCTTTTGAAGGTCTTGAACATTTAAAAAAAAAAGACTTAAGCTAGATAGCCAACAGAATCGACTGTTATTGAGGTTTCGTCATTAACTGAATCACCGGCACAGCAAATATTCGAAGCTTTATTAAAGTTTCTTTATAAACCTTTTTGGCTAACTTGACTTATGTGATAACAATTTGCATAAACAATGGAACGAATAAATTAACTCCCCAAAAAAATATAAACTAGTACACTTTGTAGAGATAATACAGAATATTTCAGCGTAATCTATAATATAACTCCGATAATAATAACATACCATGGCCTCTGGTGCTAACGGAGCTGCCTAGTTGTACCATTATAACAATAAAACATGTACTTGAAGAAAGAAATGCATTTTTTGTTGAACCCGAAAAATGACGTTGAATTCCGTTTATAGCAATCTAACGATTTAGTGGTATTAATTTTGTTTCTAAATTAAAAGCTCTATTGACTGCGGCACTCTGAAAAGCGCAACTCTGTCTTTATGTTACCCTGCAACATACGTTCCACTTCCTTACATGGATTATCCTATCCTGTCGTCACAACTCACTCGCCACATCACCGTTGTTAGTTACCTTATTCAAGTTTTGCCATTGTATATTGTTTTACTACAGTTATTTCATTATGGTGAAACTGACCTTGAATTTCAATATCTCTGGCAAATGCTTTACCTGTCCAAGGAAAAACAATGTCAACCCATAGGCACTCTAAATAATTTTCGAAAAAATACGATACTCGACCTCAGCGGCAAAAATCGGGATAATCAGTTTTTCTTCTGAAACCAAATGTAACATGTATTATGTAAAAATAAAAAAATTAAACGATATTTTCATTTGAGTATTTAATCAGTTTTCAGTTATTGTTGAAAAAACCAGCTCAAAAAGTACTTTCTTTCTCACTTGAAATTTGCGCAGAGGGCTTTTTTTTATAATTTTTGAAAACAAAATGGATTACTTATTTCTCATCGAACAAAACCTACCAAAAAAAGAGTTTAAATCGTAAGATCTGTGTTTGAGATGCTTGGCAAACTTTCACTTTCAAAATAAAGGATATATAATATAGTTGGATTAGACATTTATTATAATGTCTAATTCAAGGTATCTTATTATACATACCCTGAATTTCGTGTATCACTATTAAAACTGTTCACTACTATCAAAATCACTATAGGTTTTTATTAAAAAAAAAACTAATTTCATTTCACAACTAGACCAATTAGCTTAATTGCGATTAGTTCACAATCTAAGAGTACGTTCTCGTTTTTGGTAAGACACCCCGTAAATCTCAGAGGACACGAAAGTAGTAAAAGAGTGCATTCCAAACTTTGATTCAGTCTTTTGTTATTATTTCTCTCATTCACACACCCACAAATAGAGTTCCGGTCAAAGATTGAGTACTGCAGATGGGCCCCTGTACAATCTTCGCAGCCCTTACGATGATTCATAGGTCTGAGACAAAACGCGGTTACATAAATAAGAAATTTCTAAATCAGTTTTGAGCCTATTTGAAATACAAATATCTCACAGCAACTCAATTATTAACTGCGGAGCTTTTACGGAAAATTAGCCATTTAGATTATTGTATTCAACCAAAAATGTGCGACGGGTGAGGTCTTTCTGTTAGTACAGATATTGAAATAATCAGAAAAATGTTATTAGATACGTTTTACAAAGGTGAACGTTCGGTGACTTCTAAATGTCATGTACACGATTCTTACTTGTTCCATTATTTTTAAAATTGCATCCCAAGCAGACTGTATATTCAAGTCTGAGAACAGATTGTCAGCAATGTGTTGACGCATTTGCTGATGGTCATATCTGTTTGACCCGGTACATGTTTCAAGATTTCGAAAATCGGATTTTTGCTATTAAGCATACCCAATTTAAAAACAAACTTAATTTTAATTGAAAAGTAGTCATGTATAAACTTTATGTTTATGTACGTAACCTGATGTCTTTAGGTATGCTTGGGTAATGTTTAACGACAATTTTTTCAAAATGCATTTGCTAGGAGGTTTCATTCTTTGGAAACTTTATATCTGAGTAAGCTAAATTACTAGCGTTACGTAACTTGAATTTTTTTTGGAAACATTTTTTATTTTAGCCCGTCGTCACAATAACAATGTTACGGCGATTTTCTGCGGCGGTAATTAACAAACTCTGAAGAAATTTGAACATCATAGACTATTTTTTAAATCTAGAAAGTTTTAGGAATATTCGATATTTCCTGTATCTTTCCAACACTTACGCACATGCAAAGTTAATAAACTACAGTCCAGGCCTCAAAAATAATATATA